AGCAACAACAAACCAAGCTGGCTCGATCCTTAACCAGCAGCGGTGATAACCTCCGACCCCTCTACCTCCCTCCCTCCTTTCGTTCTCTCTCCCCTAATTTAGCACCGCTGCTCGTTGCAGTAGCGGACCCTGGCCTTCACCTCCGGCCGGCCCCTCTCATTCCCTGCTTCAACACAAACTCCCTCTCGGAAGTTGTAGCAGCAAACGACAAACCAGATCTCATATCCCACCTACGATCCCACCTAAGATCCAACAAGCCTACAAAGCCACTTAGTTTCCAAACACCTATGCAACCAGCATAGCTCAGTCATCGTTCTAGACACCTATTGCCAGGCACCGCTCTTCCCAATGGAAAAGGGTATTTTGGGATCAAAAAGCTCTCTCTCTCTATTTCTCTTCTTCTTCTTCTCCTTTGTTCTCTCTCCCTTGTGTACTCCCTACAAGAACTAGAAGTGTCGAGATTGGAATACCTTTGGCCAATACCTAAAGAACCATAGGCTTCCACTGTAACTCTCCAGGGGCAACGGCGCCCATGTGTTAGAATTCCTGAGGCATCTCGACCAATTTGGGAAGACCAAAGTCCACACCCAAATGTGCCCCTTCTTCGGCCACTCAGAATCCCCTTGCACTGTGTCCATGCTTAAGGGTGTCAATAGACCGGTTTTGGATTGAACCCTATCCAATCTAAAATCAATTTAGACGGATTGGACGAATCAACAAGACATATTGGATTGGACTAATCTGGTTCAAAATATTTATTAGATTGGATTGGACTTGGTCTGTCCATAACAAATTTATATTGAATTGGGTTGGATTAAGCCAATATCTCCTCCATTGATATAAGATAAGAACATATGTGTCAATGGACCAGGTTTGGGTTGAAACCAATCTAAATCAAAATGAATTTGAACAGATTAGACGGTCCAAACATTGAATTGGATCAGTCCAAATTGATCAAAAATATTCATTTGATTGAATTGGACCTGGTCCATTTATAATGGATTCACATTATACTGATTCGGATTGGACCAAATCCAGTCCAATTGACACCCCTATCCATGCCCACTCTGTTAGGCTTGGGCAAGCCTCAATGCTCTCATCGGACGTCTTTGACCTGCCTTTGAGGAGAACGGTGGGAAGCCAGAAGACAATCCATTTGGTGCCCGAGCAACGAGGCTCTACTTACCTGAGGTTCGTGAGTTGCAGACCAAGGCAAGGGGGATCAAGTATGAGAAGAAGAAGCGGAAGTGCCCGCAACAGAGGAGAAGAAAAAGCCAGTTCTGGGTTGCGATGTCCATGCCCAATTCTGAGTATCTCTCACATCTGAGTATCTTTCAGACCTCAAAATTTGGGTTTCTGGCAGAACCGAGAAATTCGAATTCTGGAACTACTCAGGGATCTCCAACCTCTCCTCGCCAATCTTGGGAAGCTTCTTCTATGCAACAGGGGCTTTCTTTGCCTTCTTCTCTTCTACTAGCTTTTTCTTCTCATCGTCACACCACCGTCCGAAAATTCCAACAAAAACGTCACAGGTGAAGGTGATGGTGCTCTGTCTCTATTCTTACACGTAAATTGAACTTTAGGGAAAAACGGACATTCCATCCCTTCCATCAATATATATTTAACCACAATAATACTTTTCAGAAACAATAAGAATAGTGATAGACAATATTCAAACAATAGGAATATACTTGATAAAAATAATTTAAGAAATTTTCCCTATAAAAAAGGTTGCATAAATGAACCAATATTCCAGTTTCATGGAAAAGAGAGATTTCAGGTTTGTTGGTACTAACAAAGAACTGATGTACAAATAAGATATGATTGGAAGACAAGGCTAAGACTTATCATGGATTCATTTTTATCATGCATTGAAAATATGTATATATTTTTTTTTCTCTTTCAGATCAAACAAAAAAGTTAATATGAATATAATGTACAAACAAAATTAGTACTTGCTTAAAAAAATAAATAAACAATTAATGTTATCTAAAGGTAGTAAAAACAACTTAGGGTTTAAAAGAAAATGAAGTTTAGGTAAATAGTCTATGCTCACCTGGGAAACTAAGATGCAGTTTAGATAAAGAATAATATTGGTTCAGATAGTTGAGCAAAGCAAGTTATTATGTCGATATCCTCGTATCCTAAGAATTAAAGGAGCATCACTTTAGTAAGCCTAGGATTATAATAATCTGTTACAACTTGCATTGTAGGCATTTTCCTTTTCACTGCTATAGATTGTTCATCACACCAAAAGCTAATACTGGGTTTCTAGGGTACGTGGCGTCAGAAAGGATGATCGGGCTGTGCTTTTCTCACTAAAGTCATAATCGTACAGTCTTGATTTTCCAAATTAAAGCAGCTTGAGACTTTGTAACGTTGACCCTCTAAAGGGCCACCGGGCTACCTCCATTTACTACTTTTACTTTTGTTATCACTTATCGCATAGTACTTTTGTTATCACTTATCGGGTATACATGGCATGCATAGCTTCGAGTCATGAAGCTAAATAAATTAATGATATAACAGGCCTCTTTATCTGTGTTTTTAAAATCGGATCAGACTAGATTGTCAGATCAGAAAAACCATGAACTCTTATTTTATTGATTCAGTTTTACTCAAAAATCATTTTTTTGGCCAAAAATTATTGATTTGGTCAACTAAATATTGATGTAGATGGTTGAATTGTTAACTTAAACAATAATTTTTAGTTTTCTTTTAATTTTTTTTTTTATATTTGTCAAAACGGATCGTTCGTTCGAATCATTTAACTTAGGAACTGGTCCTCAAAATGGTTCCCTGTTTGATCCCGTTTTAAAAACCTTGCTCCTTATCAATTCGTTTAATTTTGACCAAGCAAAATATTTGCATTCTCTCTCTCTCTTTTTGGAGGTGAGGGGAGGGCGATGGGCTATGGCTGGGCAGTGAGCTTAGTAGCTTACTCTTATTCTTATACTGCTAAGTTGCTTTAGAAGATCATCTCCTTTAAAAAAAAAAATTAAGACTCTAAAAAACCTAAACAGAACTTTCCAATGCCACCATTAAATAATTAACAATAACAGAGTACCCATAACTATACATGTCTCCAACAGAGAAGTATGTCTATACATCAAGCAATTTTTTTAGCCAAAGAATCAAAGACTGATCATGCAAGGTTCTAAGAGAGCTGGTCAACAATGATCCCAAAGTCTGGATTGATCGTGGATAGACCCTCACAAGTCTATCACATTTAACTAATCATGTTATTATAATCCAAGTACTATGCATTATTTTTGAGCTACTTCCATTTTCATATTTTATCTTTTAGTCTTATTCCTGTTTGCATTTTTACCAAAACAATTAATAACAATAAAAATAAAGCCCCATAGAAAGAATAAATTTTGGCGTTTATAAGCTGTATCTCAATCTTCTAAAATTAGTATATCAAAAGAATATATGTGAATATGGAGTGCCTGTGCATCAGCTTTTGGGTAGGGCAGTCGTCCAAAGTCGAGTCTTGACCTTGATGAACAAGACTATCGTAGTCTGCAAAAACATCGATATCGTAGATTCAAAATCAATTTGGTGAGCTGTGATATTGAAATTACGTACGATCTTCTACTGAAAAAATAAAGGGAACAAACAAATAAAAATCTGTGGTGCTATTGCACTTGTTATATTTGCTTTAATTTCGTTTTCTTTTCATGGGAGTTGTTTGTTATTTCAATTTATAAGAGTTTTCTAACAGATAACAGGGACGTCCAATGGAGAAGGAAATGGACGGGGCAACCAACTAGTTGTTGGAGGGCCTGCTTGAGATTCCTCGCGTAAATCCCCTCTGTTTCCAAGCAAGACCGAAAATTACTACTTTACCCCTTGTTTGTCTCTAAAACTACAACAGTACTATATGCCACCTAACTCCTATGTTCTACATTATTACTATACTTATTGTCAGTGAGATTCTTTTGAAAGTATTTTATGCATTCTCCAAACAATATGTTTTTGACTTTTTTTTCTTTAATATATAAGATAAGATGTTGGTAGGAGCGGCATGCAAATTATTAATATTCGCTTGTTTCAAATTTAAAAATGAAGG